AGAACCAAATGATGACACATTTAAGAGGGCAATAGAATGCCAGCTATTTAGAAAAGATATTACACATTATTTTATGTTAATCTGATTATTAAAAGTTTTCCTCAAGATTCTAAAAGAATTTTAGAATTTCCTGAAGAAATCAGTGGCTTTAAACCATCTACCTGTGGAATGTTAATAATTCAACTAAATTTAGTTTTTTAAAATTAGTTTAACAGAGCTCACATTCCATCACTTAAAAATATAATTCACCTGAGGCCAGCAGATGGTATGGTGGTTAAGGCACTGGATCCTACAAGGCCAGCTCTACAGTTCAAGTCTCGGGCCTGGCACTTGCTAGGTGCCGAGTGTGTGCATGACCCAAATCCTAAGAGAGCAATAGAGAAAGGAATGCTCATGGCCATCCCTACTGGGCAGGAGGGTGATTTCTCAACGTCCTTTCTCTGCCAAGAGCACACACCCTGTGTCAATTAAAAAAAAAAAAAGAAAAAAGAAAAAAAATATACATACACACGTTTACTGTATCTAAGAAATAAATAATTTCTATCACTTTATATACCAAATATTAACTATTAGTTTAACATTTTATATAACAAATATTAGTAGAGCATTTCAAAAGCAAGCTAGGACAATGTGAACATTATAATAATAATCTCAACATTAATAGTTCTCAAACGTCAGTGTGTATCATCTTATTAAAATTGTTAGGCTCCAGGGGCTAGCAGGCAGCATAGTCGTTAAGGAGCTGGAATGCCATAAGGATGACCATGGTTCGAGTCCTGGACCCAATGCTTGAAAATCATGCTGGGTGCACATGCATGTGTACCCCAAATCCCAGGAGAATAGAGGAGAAGGGATTATGGCATGGCCAACCTCCCTGTGGGTGATTTCCCATTTTCCCTCTCTCTTTCTCTCTCCAGTGAGCACACTCTACGACAAAAAGAATTTTGAGAGAGAGAGAGAGAGAAATTGTTGCACTCCAAAATTCAATAGGTCTTGGGCAGGGCCTGCAAATTTACACTTTGAACAAACCATCAAGTGATCCTGATGTTGCTGGTTCAGGGGCTGCTCTTTGAGACTTTCCTGCCATAATTACTACTCTACACAGCGCTCTTGTGATCTGTTCTACAACATTTTAACTATAAGGATTCTGTAAAAGCTAAATAATGTAGTACAGCTTTAGTACTTAGAGTAATGTGGAAAATGCCATGGTAAGGTTCCTACTGTACCTCACTAGTCTAGTTACATAACCAGATGGCTATTATGAGCTGTGATCTTGGCCTGGGGAACTGAGTGTTTCAAGCAAGTCTCACTCACTTGGCTGCTTGCAGTATTAATGGACTATGGGGAAGTTTCTTTCTAGTAGCCTGAAAGGACAAGTAGCCTATAGTAACCACTGATCACTTCTGATTTATTTACTGTTGTCCATGGTGCTTATCAAAAGACAAATACCATACTGCACTAAGTAGACTGCTCATAATTTATAACGGCACCAAGGAGTGGCAACAGTATTAACAGTGGTCAAGACTCCAAGTATTTAAAAGTGAGCAAAAAAGACAAAGTATTAACAGTTATTTTCGTCTATGAAAGAAGGTACGAATCACAGAAATTAAATACTAATGTGGTGGAAAAGAAAAAAAAACAAAAGCAGAATTATGTAGAGAAATTCAGTATAGAATCATCTACACTATACAACTTGCACAAACTAAAAGAGGTAATTATGATGCATATGCATCCAAACTTTGAATAGTTCTGACTGAAAATGTCTGATTAGTTAGTTAACTCAGTGGGGTGGCATACTGAAAAAGTGGTTTACCCGTAAGTATTCTAAGGGAAAGCCAATCCAGGGAATATGCTAATTAGAAAAGTACAAGCTTTTAAAAAAGTAAGTCTTAGTAGAGAATATGTATTTTCTTACAGTAGCTATGGCATTATACATTATGACATGGTATTCAAAATTAGAATGTTTGAATTTAAATAAAGTCTATTGAACCTCAAGTTAAATAGTGCAGTGCACTATATTTTTTCAGTCTAAGTATAATTTAATGTCTTGTTAAATTAATAACACAAATAAAGCAGTTTTTGTTTGTTTGTTTTATTTTTAAGGTTTTGCCATAGGGCTCGTTTGCTAGCCAGAGAGAGACATAGACAGTGAGAGGGAAAATAAGAAATCATTCCCTAGGGGGGATGGCCACATCACAATCTCTTCTCCTCCATTTTCCTCCTGGGATTTTAGGCATGCATGCACATGTGCCTGGTATGATTTTCAAGTTCCTTGGTCTAGGATTCAACCACAGTCAGCCATGTGGGAGTCCAGTACCTTAACCACTATGCAACCTGCATGCCCCAACAAGCTGGTTTTTATTGGTGCCATTTCTTTTCTAGCACTTAAGATGCTTATAATGAAAAATAATTCTTCTAGATTTTAGTGAAAGATGGTAACACAATTACCGTTTGTGCTAACAGTCACTCTTTCTACTACTAGCTAATATACAAACACTTGAAATTTTCAGGAATACTATACTTCTGCTTCTCTGTGATGCTCAAGGAAATTTCTGAATTATTGAAGCAAAAGATTCTCATCATTTTATGCCTGCTGTGAAAGAAAGTTTCAGGAACAACAAGAATTGCCCAATTATAGTAATTTCTTCTGTTATTTAACTATAAGTATCATATTATAACTGCTGAAATTATTTATGTTGACACTTCTGTAATCTACTTAACTGCATACAAATACCTTAATTTGGTCAGTCAGTTAAGTGGCAATCTAAAAGTAGATATATTATGATATACTTCCCTGGTCAGTTACTGAATTCTCACTGCAATGTGTGGTAGTTCAGGATTCTTTTGTTTTAAAGATATAATTCATGGGTCTAGCAACTGGCATGGAGGTTAAGGTGTTAAACTCCCACATGGCCGACCGCAGTTCCTGTCCTGGCCCAGTAGCTTTAAAATCATGGGCACATGTGTGAGCATTCCCAAAATCCCAAGAGGAAAATGGAGGAGAAGGGACAGTAGTGTAGCTATTCTCCCCAGGGAATGATTTCTTACTTTCCCTTTTACTGTTTCTTTCTTAGGTGAACACATGAACCCTATGCCAAAAACCTTAAAAAAAAATTAATTCATAATCTGTCATAGAAGATGATTTAGACTATTTTTAAACAAATGAATGAATCTGGGGAAAATTCTGCTGAAGTGTCATATCTGAAGACTACCTGGAGAACAAATACATTACTGGAATTATATGTTATTTTGACAATACTTTCCTCACTAAATCCCAATAGCAAGTTTCCAGGAACAACAACAAAAAGATAAACAATGGAAAATTAACCCAATAATTAGTAATTAACATCTTATTTTATGTGTCAATTACTAAGAGCTGACTCAGGAAATGACTTATAAGCACCGACTTAAAGTAAATTCATCTAGCATAAAAAACACAAAATATCTAACAGCATTTATCATATTTGTTATATTTAGCAAGTCATTTCTATTGTAGAAACATACTATCTGGAATAATATCTTAAGAGAAAAAGAGTCTCATCAATGAAAGTCAGACGTCAGAAATAGGAAGGGATCAAAGATGCCCTTCAACTTCTCAACTTCTGTTTGAAATACACCTTAATCTAGGCTACTGTGAATAAAGACACCAATGAAAATGTTAATACTTGAACTGATGATAATGATCAACATGACAGCAATAATTGTCTTAAGTTAAACCTTTTTAAAAATAATTATTTTATTTGGGGCCGGCAGGTAGCATGGTGGTTAAGGACGGTAGACTCCCACATTGCCAACTGTGGTTCAAGACCCGGGCCTGGAGGCTTGCTTTCTCACTCTCTTGCTCTTGCTCTCACTCTGTCCCTCTCTATCAAATTAAAAATAAATACATAAATAAAATTTAAAAATAAAATAATTCTTTTTAAAAATAATTATTTTATTTATTAAGATGATTATTTTTTAAAAATATGCTACAGGGCATGTACACTCACCAGAGAGACAGAGCGGGAGGAGAATCTATAATGTACAAGAGAGCGAGAGAAAATGAGAAAGCAAGCTGCCAGGTCTGGGAGTCAAACCATGGTAGGCCATAAGGGAGTCCAGCATCTTCATGCCAGCTGCTGGGCAAAAATTAAACATTTTTAAAATAAGTAAATTTCTTTATTTTAAAGTAGTGAATCATTCTAAAATTCTGTACACAATGACTTAAAAGACAACTACTGGGGCCAGTAGGTGACATGGTGGTTAAGGCACCAGACTCCCACATGACCAACTATAGTTCGAGTCCCAGACCTGGTGGCTTGATTTCTCCCTACCCTTCTCCATCCCAGTTAGTGTACCTGCTGTATATAAAGTTAGTAATAATAATGATAAATAAAATTACTTTAAAAAATGGCAATCACCATACATGGTATAAAAATATTATACAGAAAAGGTTAATGCAAGCTATAAATAACATGGTTATATCTTTAAAGTTACTGTAAAACAGTACTTTAATGTAAAAAATTGCCCTGAACTCTAACTTTCTATTATCAAGAGACAGTTTCTAAAGTGAAGTAACAAGTTCGTATTTTCAGAAGAATGTAAAAAACACCTGAAGAACTGAAAGTTTGATTTGTTATCATATTGTAACAGTAAGTTTGTTATAAAAACCAGAGCACATGGTTTTAGAGACTTCTTATACTATTCTTTCAAATAAATAATATACTTTAATGGAACGTTTTATGCAATGGTGAAATTAAAATCTCTCCTGGTATCAAAAAGAAATGTGCAAGAATCTAGACAATCTGAATTTTAAAACCACACTGAATTTTAGAACTGGAAAAGCTCATATTACCGTATTACATTAACCCTGACCACTTGAAGTCATAAACACTAACAACTAAAAAAGGGCAGCCTAAATAAATTTGTGTGTGACAGTAGAGAGAAACATTTAGTCATTCCATTGCTTAAAAAAATGCCACCATCACACTCAATATATAAGAGCAATATAAGGAAGTTACCTGACTACTAGTTTCACTTATAGCTTCCAGAAGTTTTTCAACTGCTGCTTGTAGTCGAGAGCTAATGTTCAGCATAAGCTCTTCATTTTCAGGGTCTATTTCAGTTCCAGCAAAACCACTCCTCACAAGACGTTGGGACAGTTCTGTTCCTTCTTCAGTTACTTTTGACCACATGTTACTCTCATTTCTTGGGATATCACTTCCCGAATAAGAGGATATGGATTCATCGGTTGCTAGAATAACAGTATTTTAAGTCGGGTTAATTATAATTAATGGTGAAAAACGTTTAAGTTACAAAATTAAATCAAATTAAAACTTTTATTCATTAATAGTACAAGGTATTTTAATAATAGCACTGCAACGACGTGAAATGTGAACATAGAATGTAATACTATTCAACAGGCAATCAAGGTGAAGGATAATGCTCTGCTAAAGGAACTTTAAAGAAATTAATAATTGGGTTATTTATTAGTTTTTCTTTGAAAAAAAACTTTTTAAAAGTTTATTTCCTCCATAAGAGAGGGATAGAAAAAGATGGGGGGAGGTAGGTAGTGAGAAGCACCGATAGGGTCTTCGTACCATGATCCACCTCCCTAGCCACTAGGATTACAGATAGATGTGTGCACATACAACCAGTGTGTATAGGGAGACCTTAGGACGTGAATCCACTACCTTACTTGCAGCTTCAGCATCGTGGAGAATTGTGTTACTGCTGTACTACATGGTTGGCCTGATAGGAACTTTTAAGTCAACTATCAACAGATATTGACTATCTGTCCATCAGGTTGGGTTCACTAAGTAATAAGGACACACAGATGACAAGATCTATTAATAATTCCTTATCCTCTAGGACGTTTATAGTGAAATGAAAAACAAAACGGAATAGATAAAATAAACCACCACACACAAAGAAACAATGCACAACGGGATATTTCAAGTGTACTGAAGGATAGAAGAAAGGCCTGAATTTGTCTTGGGCAGATTTTGTTTTTTCTTTTAGCACTACACTCGGCAGCATCACCAGCTCTGGGTATACAGTAAAAGACAGTAAGATAATTTTGTAGCAGGTTGCTTTTATAAGAGGTAACACTGGAAGATATTAGACTGATGAGCAGATCTAACTTAACTATGGATGTCGTTACCCATACTATCTGCACTATTCTTTATTTTTTTTTAAGCTTATTTTGAGAAAGAGAGAGAGACAGAGACAGACAGACAGAGAGAAAGTCAGAAAAACAGGCATCCCCAGTAGGTTTCTCATGCTGCAATCCATGCCCAGCCTCAGCCAGTCTGGATCATGGGTTGCACATGTGTGCCTGTGTACACGAACCTGGAACCTTCCCATGTGAGCTCAGTTGCATTACTACTACATTACTGTCTGGTCCCCTTTTCTTACTTTTTATGAAAGGAAAATTGCGTTTACATGGGTAGAAGATAAGCTCTGCAAGTTGTTTTCTCCAACCTGAACTAAAGGTATAGATTATTCATCATCACTACCATAGAATATAATACTCATCCATAGCAGCATGCTACAAACTAAAAACAAAAATGCCTGAAGAGGAATTACTCATTCTTTTATAATACATAGTACTTTTTTTTATCAGAAACTACACAAAATTAATAAGTTAGAGGAAACTTTACTATCCAAAATACTTGAAATATTATCCAAAATACCTGAAATACTATCCAAAATACCTTCACCCAGAATATATTAGAATTTATCTTGCTAAAGATAGCTGGTACCATACAGAGTTTTCTTATCCCATGAAGTAATGCAATCAGAGACAGCTTCGGACATAAGATCTGAAATCAATACAAGTCAGTGGACACCAAGACCCTCCTCTATATAAGTCACTATCACTCACTGAAGAGTCCAAAACTGTATTCCAGAACATGATTTTAAATATCTGCTATTATGTATAGGTTTACCTAATTCTTGGTGTAACAGTAATACAATTTTCACTGAGCTTATAGTGACTAAATTAAAAAACACAACCAGAAGATTGGTATTTAATGATTTTCTACATATTCAAAAATGAATGCCCTGATAATTAGGGATTAATATTTTACAAAATTTATGAGTTCAAATGGTCTTTTATTTTTAAGGATTATAAAAGTTATATTTATTCACATGGCTACATTTATTGCATTCCCTTAGAAAAATGGAGAACTGTTTATGTATGCAGTTTGCAAATACAAAACTTTATACAAATAATCTATAGCCTCTGGTACAGCTAAAATCCTGACACTACAATTTAGGTATTTCTGCTTTATGGTCTCTAGTTTATCAAGTCTGTCCACAGAAAACAAAAGCTGGAATCCTAGCCAGTCTTGCTGCTTGCTTTATTTTAAATATTCATTTTATTATTTAATTGTATTTATTGTTACTATTTTTTAGTTTGACCAGAGAGAGACAGAAAGAGAGAGAGAGAGATTGGGGGAAAGTGAGAAAGAAAGCCACCAGGGTCCAGGACTCAAACCGCAGTTGACCATGTGGAAGTCCACATTACACCACCTGCTGGCCCACCCAGATTCTTCCCCGCACCAAGGCTCCACCACCGGCCTGAGCAAGCCCAGAAGCCTCCCCTTCTTGGTGTCCTCCTCTTCCCATGTTCAAATTATCTTAGAATTTAAAATGACAGAGTACAGCGCAATGTATATTATAAAGTTACTAAATTGAATTAATATGGTTAGGAAAATAAAAGTTTTTTTGAGAGATTTTTGCTATAGGACACATGCACACTTGGAGAGACAGAGAGAGAGAGACAGAAGGAGAGAAATCGCTGCCCCAGGGAAGACGGCCATGCCACAATCCCTTTTTCTTCATTCTCCTCTCAGGATTTTGGGTATGCACGCACATACACCCAGTGTGTTTCAAGCTGCTGGGTACAGGACTTGAACCGTGGAGTCCAGGTGGACCACGTGGGAGTCCAGCAATGTAACCATTTTACACCATCTACTGGTCCATAAAAGATGTTCTTAAAGAAGCTATGGAACTAAGGCATACTAATAGTTTTTAGTTGATGCTTAAATAAAAACACTAAAAATATCTATGTTATATAGCATCTTTATCAGAGAAACTGGATTTTAGTGGAAAATCTAATGTGAAAATAGATAAGAACTCTAGGTTTTTTTTTTTTTATTTTAGTGGAAAATCTAATGTGAAAATAGATGAGAACTCTAGGTTTTATGAGGCAAAAGTATGTGGAGAAGTGGGTATGAAGAAAGGGAGAGATAGAGCCAAAGGAAAAAGGAAGGTGGCTGGAAAGTAGGTAGGATCTAAGTTGCAAATTGTCTTAAATTTAGTAAACATGAGGTTTTTGCTATAAATCAAGGGGAAAGGAAATGTATTTTGAATAGGAAGATATTTCAAGTCTATAAATCAGGAAGCAAATGACGATAATGCAAAAAAAATTGGAGAAGGAGGAAAGACTCAGTTACAAGACTATTTCAATCATTCATATGAGAGGCAATTAAGGATATAAAATAAGATGCTGGGGTAGGAGGAGTGAACAGGTTGGAGAAGACTATGTAAGACAAGTCTGGAAGAAAAGAAAAAGATGAGCCTCGGTTTTTAGCTTAGATAATTCTTAGAGTACAAAGGAGTTACTAAGAGAAATACTAAAAACAAAACAAAACAAGACAAAAAAACAAGAGAAAGCATATATAGTAGGCAAGAAAATTAGTCTGAAGTGTTAATGGAATATGTGAAGATGAGCCAATTGTTGGAAATCCAGGTCTGCAGACTTAGTCATATCTAGAAGGGCGACAGTTAAAAACTTTGAAATGGACAGGCTTGTTTTAAGGGTAATTACTTAAAGAGAGAAGACACACAAAGTTGGAGCCCTATGTTATAAACTAACAAAACTGTGTTAAAAAAAAAAAATAGACAGGAGAGAGACATCCAGGGACAAGGGAACATTTCAAAAAGGAGAAACCTCAACAATGCTATCTGTCTTGGCCCAGTCGTAGTGATGGCAATGCTGAAAGCTGTATGGAAGACCGGGGTTCAGTTCCTGAGTGGACCTGTGCATGCTTGGGGCACATGTGTACCCATGATTCTGGGAAGAAATAGAGGCAGGATTGTGGCATGAGACTATGTTGAAGGTGCCTGTCTTCCCCACCCTGTAAGTCTCACACGAAACAAATAAATGTATGTATGGACAACAACAAAAAAATTAAAATGATGTTTGTCTAGAATGATTACGGAACAAAGACTGAGAACATGGTATAAATTTGACAATTTAGAGGTCAGTATTGTTCTTTCTCTGAGAGAGCAGCTGCTGAATGCCACAGTTAGCTTACTCTCACTGAGTTTATTTACATTTACCATGAAGGGAAGATGATGTGTTCAATACTCTAAAAAAAAAAAAAAAAAAAAAAACCAGTATGAAGATATCAGCTTGTTTGGGGATATAGAGAAAGATCATCAAAAGCGAGGAAAAGACCAACAATACTATATATTAAATGGGACTATATATTAAATGGGAGCAAAATGAAATACACAGGATGTATGAAATAAAGCAGCTTATAAAAGGCCACTGAATGGTGGGTTTTCTTTTTTCTCTCTTTTTTAAAAGTTTATTTATCTTTCTTTTGGGAGAAAGAGACATACACATAGGCATCCTCAATATTGTCTTCAAGTCAGAATCCTCCCTAAGGCCTGCAGGATCATGGGTATGTCCACTGGCATGACTACCATGTTGCAGTAGACCCAGGATGAAGACCCAGAGCCTTCTTATCCAGCTTCTACCACCATGCAGCAGTGCCCCCACTGCCTGCACCACTAAAGTATTTTTTTCTTAATGACTCATAAAAAATTAAAGTACATAGAGAAGATGAAAATGTCGATTAGCGTAATGTACTTATTAATAACATTTTGAAGATATTAGCAATCTGAAATAATCTGAGTAAGTTCCAATAAAGAAACAGAATTTTTGTTTATACCTATGAAATAAAAGAATGAGATAGCAAGCTTCTATTTGTTCATAACAACTAATCTTTGGGGAAAAAGACACCACAGAATAATACAAACCAGCAGGACAATTTCACAATGTGCCGATAGAAATCTTGGGATGACAAGACTAGTGAACAGAATCCTTCCAGATTGGTAAATCATTAAGATTTATCTTCGACATAGCAAATGATGCTTATTCAAGTCCTTTAGTCATTTAATTCAGAGAATATATCATGTTCATGCCTTGACAGATGACGATAAATTCATTAAAGCAGGCTAGGCAGGATGACAGATCCTTCCCTAAACCAACGGCTCTCTGAAGATCTCTACGGCTCCAACTGGAAACCAATGGATTCTAGCCTGACTCTAGAATCCAAAAGATGAGAAAACTGTAATGAAGCACTGGGAGACTTAAGAGATTTGCCTGAGGTCATAGTGACCCAGAAAAATATCAAGGCCTTCAATTACTAACCCAGAATTTTTTCTATTTGGGTTGTCAGGAAAGTCATGATGTATTTTTGCATAGAAAAAAAAAAAAATCATGACTTTCCTGACAACCTGTTATATTGTTGCATCGCTCCAAAAGGAAGCTCCAGGAAATGTTTTGGTCCCTGTCCTCCTATGGGAGAGGTGTATTCCATCACCGAGCTATCATGGTACAGAATTAAGGAAATTTTCTTAACAAAATCTGGGAAACTCATTTTAATAAAATGATCTAATATTCATTCAGATTCAAGAGATTTCATGTTGACTCAAAGTTTCCCTTCAATTCATAGTTTACTCTTAAGAGGAAGCAAACATTAGCAAATCATATACTATTTTTTTTCAAGTGCTAACAAGTCCACACATGCTTAAAATCTAAACAAGTTCAGACATGAAGGCTGAAAATACATCACAAGTTTTACTTACTACAAAAAGTCATATGTAAAAACTGAAAAGTCAAAGTCACCTAATAATCAGATTAAAACAATTTTCCTGTTATCTTAAGTAGGACAAAAAAACCTTACAAAAGTAAATTTTATTTTTCACAATAATGTCCCATTAAATATAGGAAGGAATGTCAGAAAAACATTTTTACATATGGAATACTGTGTCAATATTTTAAAGCCAGTATTTTCTTCCAGGCTCAGGAAAAAAAAAAACTGGTTTGCATACATACAAAGTGGTTTTAGGTAAAATATTAACTACTATGATTTTATCTGGTCTTGAATCAGAATTTCAGTTCCTCTTTAACCAGACTGAATTGCCGTGAAGCAGAAAGCAAACAGAAATTGCTCAAGAAATGTAAACTTAAACTGATAAAATTACTTAAATCTGAAAAACTACACTATTACTGGATATCTTACAATAAGACATAGATGTATTTCACCTAAATTGGAATTTAGATTAACTATGCAAGAGAGTAGGCTAGTGGACCACTATCCTTTCAGATCTCCTTTTGTCCTAGGAAATGAACATTATCCTCTGTAATTGAGTTAAATTACTAGTTTTTTATAACTATGAGCACATAGTGTTTTAAGATATGTTGTTTGCTGAATACTTTAGCAATCATATTTGAAAAATATCTAAGAGAACTGCTAACAAAAAGGCACAAGTCTTATTTGCAATTTACAGAACATTCCTCAGGGTGTCTTTTGGATATAGGTATCAGCTTGGTCTAGGTGTTGCCAGGAAACA